TAACCAGAAGAAATCCCTGGATCGCTTAGCTAGTCTAATTGATCCCTTTTTGCTATAAGTCCATGGATGTGCTTAACCTGTCGGGACGCCGCCTGGTCTTCCTTTGTCACATGCATTGCTACACGTGATTCGTGACATAGAAGTACTTCTAACTCTTTCTATTTAGTGCTCTAGTAAGAATATGTCACGAATCACGTGTTACCACGGGAGATAGTGAAGACCAGGCGGCGCCCTGACAGGTCGAGCATTATCATAACTCTTATAGCAGAAGGGGATCCTTAGGCTAGCTAAGCGATCCAGGGATTTCTCTGTATTGTTATCACGTGACCAGTAGTGGTCGCTTGGTCGCGAGCGACTACAACGGCCAGGTCGTCTTGGTCGCGGCGACCAGCAGCGATCATGGGAATGAGGGTTCTATATAGGACTGGCACGTCTGCCACTAGATAGGAGCTTCGTGATCCAGGGATTTCTCTGTATTGTTATCACGTGACCAGTAGTGGTCGCTTGGTCGCGGCGACCAGCAGCGATCATGGGAATGAGGGTTCTATATAGGACTGGCACGTCTGCCATTAGATAGGAGCTTCGTGCTCAACTTAGTTATCAATCTTATCATATTAGTTTGACATCTTTGATACAAATAACGAGTTCACTTCCAAGTGAACAACCCGATAGTCTTCTTCTTATCATAGCATACCAACCAGCGAACACCCAGCCAAGTTTAGTTAGCCAGTTTGAGTATTAGTTACAATTACCTATAGATTAGGCGTACCTAGGCTATTATAAATTACTAGTATAATAGCTTGTTCTTTACTAGAAGTAAGGCGGGGGGATATTTCGAAAAGGGGCTAGGAGGGCTATCGGAGGGCTAGGAGGGCTGTCGAAAGGGCTGTCGGAGTACTACTAGTAGGTAGAGTTTATAGTAAAGGGTAAAGTAAAGGTAATATAGCTCTTGTTATTACTATTCTTACGTTATTATAAAAATCGTGAAAATCGTGAAAAGTTTTAATGTTCCTACTACGCACTAATATATATTAAAGTAGGAACCAAACTAAACCAAACCATTTAAGCTTAATTCGCAACTTACTGTACTCGATAATTCTATATTAATTATGTTAATCTTACATCTCTAGTTAAAACTCCTCAACTTCCACGTACCATCCACAGTATCTAATCAGACAAAATGTAACCTCTCTACCCAAAACACAAAATAGAATAAAAAACTCCGCGGCCCATGGTATCTTTCTATGTTGTCCAAACATGCTAATCTGGATGCGAATGCAATATCATCTTGTCGTATCCTCTATCTTGTACTGTAGCTCTCTACTTCTGTCTGCCATCTTTACAGCCCACATGGTAAAGTTTGTGCTTGTGATCCGATTGACCGCCTTCGATTACGACGGCGGTAAGCTTTCCGCCTTTTAGACAGCCTGTGTCTATGCCCATACTGTATTTCTTCACCCGAAGTCCTCGTTTGGCGTCGTGGCCGTAGATGACTGTCGAGCGATCTTTCTTGGGGAGGGTTTTTTGGTGTTTATTCCAAAGCTAGGGTTACAATTAGCATATGTAGATTCGGACAGAATCTGGGGTGAACCAACCTTCGCCCATGGAGTCCCGTTCCTCCTATCACTAGGCACGCCATTCTTAACGGTCCGCACATTCATGACCACCACGGGATCCTGCCTCTGTAGCTTCACGCCAGGCGTAAGTCCCGCATGAACCACCACCACCTCGCCCATATCTCCCAGCTTCCCCACCCTCAGAATGACAGGACACTGTTGTAGCCACTTTATCCTCTTCTTCCCAAGCTGCTTCACCAACTTCCGATCCTTATAATTCCCATGACTGAAGCTCTCCTCCTCCAACAGATCCTCCTGTTCGTCCAACGACTCCCGCGGCCCAGGTGTACCGACTCGCAGATGTTCAGCCTCCATGTCCGCATATGCGAGTAGGATTCTATCTTCGTGGTTCCCGCGGACACAGGTTGCGCCGAGCTTCATCGCCAAATCAACGACGCCTGGAGAATCAGGACCTTTCGAAATCATGTCGCCCGCAAGGATCAGATGGTCGTGTTTCTCGTTGAAATCCATTTTCTCGAGCAATTCAACCAGGGAATCCTTCATCCCGTGTACATCTCCTACAACCACCAGACGTCCGGATTTGCGATGTTTGCCGGTCTGGGGCACGTATTCTTCGGGGAGGTCCATTAGTTTGATCATGCCTTTGAAGGTTGGGTGTGCGTTGGATCCGTAGACGTCCAGCTCTTCTTCTGGGGGATTTGTTGCTTCGGATGCCCATTTTTCTTGCGAGATTGTTTGGGGTGTCCAGAGGTAGTATGCGCCCCAGGACAAGCCCAGAAGGACTGCCAGATAGCTCAGCATCTTCCTCATCGTCCAAGCAGTCGAGGGTTTGGAGGGAGACATGCCAGCCTCGTTGTCAGGCAGGAGAGGCATTCGTGATGCCTTTTGGGAGTTCATCTAGGAACGAAGGTCGAGGCCGTTGCTCTGTTTGTTGTGTTTTACGACGAGGGTTGCTTGTTTCGCTTGCTGCCTTCGTTCTGCCCTTGGACGCATGAATGGCGGTGTTCTGGCTTTCGTTGGAAGACAATTGAAGGCACGAATAGTATTATCTGTTTGCAGACTCAACACGAGGATCCGTGTGAGCTGCGTTGGCGCTTCCCCTTGGCCTTCACCTCCAGTGTCGCTCGGTCTGTTCTTCTCAGCACCGACAAGGTAAATTCCGGTTGCCGAGCCTTGTTGCCAATGACGCACCCTCGCACCCCAGTTTCGTCATATCCACCTCCCCCGTACTTCTTCTAGATAGCGTCCATTCCCCCTGAACTATTGATGCCCTCTGTAGGTACAGCACACCTGCACAACCTCGAACACCATTCACCACGAGGCCATCTGTCAATTCACCTCCGACTGTTCGCACTCCCCATGATTCGGTTGTGTTCAGCAAAGCTACTGGAGTTCGACCCTACAGGTCATGTCCCTGCTATTCCCCGGTTCTACCCTACTGTCATGGTTGGCAATGTTTTCTTCGGATGAACATGATCATGAACTCTATGCGTTCGTGGTGTTACGTTTACGTAAATCCATCGCCATGCCATCTACTTCGAAGTAGTACGAGTACAGTCATGTACAGTATGAATACTCGGTTGCCCAATACTAATACCTCTCGCGTATCGAGTGCATAGGGCGTATGTCAGTGGAGGAATATATTTTCGATGTCTGCTGTTACTCAAGAGGTAAGAGTAAGCCGCCGGGCCGACTCTTTCGTACTGCTATACATTCGAGAGATCCAGAGTATCAATCACAGTCGGGGAAAGAGCGTTACAAAACTTCGGTCCTATTACTATTACTATTTCTGTCTTTTTTCTGTCTTTTTTCTGTCAGTAGTGCAACAACTTCTTTTTCCCATACTCAATGTTTGTCACTTCAAGTTTCCAAGGTTACTTTTTGGTCAGTAGAGATCATGATACTCTGTCCTGGTCCGAAAAGCGAGTCAAGCATTTTCTTGTCTTTCTCTATTTTTTTTGGTTATGCTTGTTTAACCTTGGGTGCTCGTTGGAGTGTCCACCAATCATTTGAGTTTAAGAACTTTCCACCTACAGACTACTCCCCCCTCCTCCTAACCAGCCTAAGGTTGTTTTCTGCATGCGGAGCCACCAGAAAAATAACCTTTTTCTGTTTAGGTAGGGAGATGGGCAGCCCTGGTTATTCCATGATCTAATGGGGCTCAATTGCATTGTTCTCTGGTACGAATCTATCTAGGACAAGCACCTGCAATTACTACATCCAAATGTTGTTCAATACATTGTTCTCCTATAACGTTTGTTCACAGGGCGGGATAAACCATTGTGGTATTGTCCCATGCAGATGCAGAAAACAAGACTACTCCTTAAAGATTGAGGATATCAACCGCTCCTCTGTGGCTTCTAAGTGATATTCTCATGCGATCTTTGTAGTACTTGAAACGGGGAAGCTTACACGAGTAGCCTCATCGTAGCTTCCCCAGATGGATGTTCCACTGTTCGCACGTGAGACATCCCCATATTCGACCAATGAGAGACATGGTCTGGAATGCGGGCTGGAGGCGGGGTCGGAAGTTTATCCAGTTCTAGTGGGTGTACAACCTGCAGGTGGTATTCAATAATACTTAGTACATTTCCGAGCCTGTGCCTATTCAGTTAATCATATGATGATCCAAATTACCAGATTCCACAATATTCCGTGGAAAAGATCATATGAAGAGACCGCTTCCCTAGATGGGTTTTCTCGCCGCGTCCCAAATTCCACTTTTGTGAAGGCTCACACAGCATCCAGATGTCACGCTCGTACATGGCTGTTGTGGTGTGTCTCGCCTTTCTATGGTCATTAGTACTTGGCTTCCCAGAAAAAGAACCTTCTTTCAAGCAAAGGTGTCAGGAATTCAAACCTCTCAGCTATGTTGCAAACGCAACAGTAAACGCGCAGGGATTTATTTCAGCTGGCCAAACCATTCTTTACCCATCCAATGACCCAAATTGTAACCGTCCAAGCCAAAACGTCTCCGTAGACATTTGCCGTATTGCCCTGAACTTTACCACATCGGATAGATCTCACGTGTTATCCGAAGTATGGCTTCCACAAAACTGGACCGGTCGATTCCTTGCTACCGGAAATGGTGGGATCGATGGTTGCACGAAATATGAAGGTATCCAAGAGATCATATAAAGTCACTCTGAACCTTGGCTAACTTGAAACTCTTACAGATATCGATTATGGCGTTAAGTACGGGTTAGCAACTGTAGGATCCAACAATGGCCACAACGGAACAGGAGGAGCATCCTTCCTCAACAATGACGAGGTTCTCAAAGACTTCGTCTTCCGCGCGTATATATCCCTTTCCCGTTCTCAATAAGCATAACTGAATCCCAATCAAGTCTCCACTCCTCAGCCACAATAGCCAAAACGCTCACCTCTAAATTCTACCATCAACCTCCCAAAAAGTCTTATTACATAGGCTGCTCGGGGGGTGGAAGACAAGGTCTCAAAGCCGCGGAGATGTATCCTAAAGACTATGATGGAATTCTTATTGGGGCACCAGCTTCAAATTTCAATAACATGTCAAGTTGGCGTGCTTCCTTCGCCGGTAAAACTGGCGCTCCTGGGTCCATGGATTTCATATCGCCGGCAATGTGGCAGGGGTTGATTCATGATGAGGTTTTGAAGCAATGTGATTTCAATGATGGAGTGAGGGATGGTATTCTGGAGAATCCTGGTGAGTGCGGTTTCGATCCGGCACGTTTGCTTTGCAGGGAGGGGACTACGAATAGTAGTGCCTGTTTGAGTCTTGCCCAGGTTGGAATTGTCAAGAGTGTGTTCAGTCCTCTCTATGGGGAAGGGGGCGAACTTGTATATCCCGCGATGCAACCTGGGAGTGAGATTGCCGCAAGCACCGGACTATACAGCGGAACCCCTTTTCCTTACTCTGTTGTAAGACCCCTCTCTTCTTTCCAACCATTCCAACTAAAAAATAAAAAGGACTGGTTCCGCTACGTCGTCCACAAAGATCCCCTTTGGGATCCCCTAACCTTCTCCGGTAAAGACATCTCCCTCGCCCAATCCCTCAATCCCCTCAACGTCCAATCCTTCCCCAACAATCTAACCACCTTCCACGCCAACAACGGAAAAATGATCATCTACCACGGCCTCCAAGACCAGCAAATCTCCTCCTTCGCCACCAACCGACTGCACAACCACCTCGCGGAATCCGTCGCCTCTCGCGCCCAACTCGACTCCTTCCTCCGATACTTCCAGATCTCCGGCCTCAATCACTGCAACTCCGGCCCCGGGGCGTGGATGATCGGCCAATCTACCCTCGGCGACTCGGAAAGGGGATTCCGGAAGGAAAATAATGTGTTGGCTGCGTTGGTGGCGTGGGTTGAAAATGAAAGAGCGCCGGAGACGGTTGAGGGGGTGAAGTTTGAGGGGGATAGGAAGGGGGGGATGGTGCTGAGGACGAGGAGGCATTGTGCGTGGCCTAGTGTTAATCGGTTTTTGGGGAGTGAGGGGGAGAAGGGGGAGAATTGGGTTTGTGTTTAGTCTTACGGGAGGTGTATTGATAGGAATTGAAGTATTTGTTAATGGTTTTCGTACACGTATAAAGACGTCACCGGTAAGGGACTAGAAGAAGGCGTTGGGTTTTATTAGGCTGTGTGTGATAGATTGAGAACTTGCGTTTGTTGCTGCTTGCTTGTGGGTGTGATTCTGGATGATACAGTAGTGTGGCGAGAGAATGTAGTATGGTTACCATATTCTGTGAGACTCATTCAAAAGACGTCGGTGTTGGTGTTCTCATGTTCCCTAGGTAGCTTATGGGGTGACCCAGTGTTATTCGGTCTCTTCTTAAGCTTACAAATGTAGTTGGTCTTTACGAGTACAACTGTGGTGTCGAGTTCTCATATAGTGATTCACAGATCCTTCTATCTTTCCCTTTTTATTCTTTTCTCTTCTCTTGGTTCTTTGAAGAACTTGTTGTTATGTTTAGGCTTAGTACTACACCTCCTTGAGTACTTTGCAGATTTGGGCTGTGTATTTATTGAGCAATGCTATAATCAACCCTTTGCACATGGAAATTAATGAAGGCAGTATCATGCTCAGATCAAGGTCAAATTTCTTTAGAGCTGCAAAATAACGAGGGGTTGAAGGAACGCCCACTTAGTGCATTCAATCGAAAAACGTTTTATCTATCTCGCTATACAAGTATTGAAGTCGGTTAACTGATACCAAGAAATACAACACACAAATGTACCCAATCAAACATGATCTGCAAACTGAATTGCTGGAAAACCCAAAACTACCAATCAAGAAGACCTTGCGCACTTGCGCTGCATACAGATCTCCTCCCTTCACCCACCCCCAAGTCGCGACAAAAGTCATCGTCTCGTTTTCCCTCAGAGGTCACAGACTGACTTTGAGCTGCAGGATAGATTTTCTCTCCAAGTTCATGTTCTGCATCTGCGTGTGTTTTCAGGATCTTCCGTATTTCTGTTTGCTGGTCAAAGTTGGCACTTGTCGTCTCCTCTGCGAAATTACGGTTGTTGCGTGCTTGGAGAAGCCGTTTTTGCCGCTGTTCAAGATCTTTGATCTTATCTTGAACAGCTTTTCCCAGGCTCGCAAACTCTGATTCGCGGTCAGCTGAACTCTCCTTGTAAAAGGTGCACTCCACGGTGGTTGACGTCGCGGAGTTGGGCAGAAATCGAAGAGTCAAGAGGCTTCCCGAACTTTCGCTTTTGAAGACGGCTGTGTGTCCTAAGACGCCTTTGCGATGGGTGAAACGTGAGAAGCTCAACCAGGAGGTTATACCAGCAGCTTGGTTTGGTAAAAGGGAAATGTCTGTAAAAGATGGTCAGATTTTACATTCCTGGTAGGTTAATTTCGTACCTGCAAGTTTCCAATTGAAACGGCCTTCGATCTTCCATTCCCCGACACATTTCAAGTCGTTAGACCTCAGACTTGCAATTACGGTCTCGGAGTCATCCAAATGGAGAGTCTGAGTATGCTCCGTAGACTTCATGTTTATGAAGACGAACCCATTTCTGGTCTCCAACTTGACTTCCCATAGACTGTTTTGATTCTTGTCAAAATTGGGTACATTTTCAAACTCTGGTGCCTTGATCAACTTTCCTTTCGTATTGTAACTCCATCTAGATTCCGGGATTGTTAGAAGGGTCTCAAACAGCATGGAAGGTTAACTTACCCATGGTATCTACACCCCAACACCATTGAACTTCCACATTCCTTTTTCGCCACTTGGTATGCTCGATGCCGACATACATTCTGAAAAGCCCGAAGTTGATTGTCTTTGCCCAGTATAACAATGACTGAAAACCCAACAATCTCGAATGTGCGGTAGTCACCCGCTTTCTGAAATCTACAGGCGTGTGTAACGAAAAGCCAAGTCTATCCATTCAAAGTCAGCATAAGCGAACTTTGGCATCTTGGAATCTGACCTTGCTGAAGATGGCACGTTTTTCGAGTTGGAAAAGAGACTCGTTTTTCCACCAATCAATCGAATAACTTGGGACAAGTGGTGTGGCCGTTTTGCAGTTTTTGAGGCGACTCGCTTCGAGGGAGTTTTTGGACTCTGGGCAAGGGAACACGGACACCCCAAAGCTACTTAGGTACTTTCCAAGATGACTGGACCTCAAAATGAAACCTGCAGCAAAAAATAGGACAAGTGCAGCAGAGTACAGGAAATGAGATAATGATTCCATTGTTTTATTGCGATGATCTGTCTGTGCGTGCTTCTGAAAAGGGAAAATTCCTCAATTGATTGGTTTCTACAATCGAACGTTGGGAAAGTGGCTGAAGCCTCAGTACTTAAAAAACCGCCATTTACTATATCAGCGTCTGGTGGAATTGCGATAACATCGCATCATTGGTCGCACGACCAGGATATATATTCGAATCATGGTCCAGGACAATGCACACGTCCAGAAAAACGTGTAATTGAGGATGACAGTACCTTTATAAGTCATTCGATGCGTTTATTCACGACACCAATCCCGGGCAGTATATCTCCTGCAATCCATGCGTGGCAGGTTCTATGAGGACCCAGGCATAGTTACACTACGGATCGTGCGACGGTGCGAATCCCGACTTAGTAATTTTTTCAACGGCCTGTTTATTCGTATGTTTCTGGCGAAGGATGCATGAACATGTATGGTCGAATCTATCTTCTCTGGATCGAATGACCATATTGGGCATACGTGTACTGAATGAACCTTGGCTGGTGACATCTCATGTTTTCTAGCCAATTGCGAGTCGGTCTCGCTACTTTTGTGGATAGTGGGATCGAAGGTCGTCGACCAGATTTCCACCATCTGTCATGCTTGGTGTAGTGGTTTCATCTCCTGATGATTGACATTGCATTGTGAGTTGTCATCATTCTTGCAGCCTCTGAAACAGAACATATTTACAAAGATGGATTCTCTCGCTCGAACACTGCCTGCCTCGTGGTTCTGTAGCGAGCCCCTTTATCAGCTCGAGCGTAGAGGTGTATTTCAAAAAGTGAGCTTTCCTGTGAAACATTACCTAGTTTTCGACTCTGAACATGGATAGTCATGGCATTTCCTTGGTCCCATCACTCGGTTCCACAACAGATCGGAGAAAGTCATCTACGAAATTGCACAAACCACCCTCGTGGTGGAGAATCGCAGTCCCTCTTCCGATGGAATAACCTTTGAGGGAGTGGTTGTATATGCTCAAGATGAGGTAAAGATCTCTCAGTTGACTTTTGCCACGTTTGACTGCTACAATCGTTAATAAAGTCGACAACAAAACAGAGTACGCAAATTAAAAGCCATCAGACCACAAGTGGTCTCATATTTGCAACCATTTCACTGAATACTCCAAGTTTTGAAGAATTCTTCTCCGGCCTTGATGAATTGACTAGCAAAGTTGACTTCACCAAACTTCCCCACCGTCGAAGCATAAGCTACGAAGGGAACTTTAACTGGAAGACAATGTATCTTCGCTTCATTCCTATATTGACTAACCCTAGTTGTCACTCTTTCTAACGATTGACTAGGATCGATGGTTTTCAAGAGTGTCTGCACTGCCAATACACCCATCCCGCCTTCACAAAGTACTACCCGCCAACCTTCTACTGCGTGATCAACCACACGAACTTCAGTCAGCATATTGCAGATCCAAGAAAAGAAGATATTACTTCCGATGGACTGTTCTTGTACTTGTACCCGATTTGTACTTTGAACATCTATGGGGGTGGAATGAGCAGTTTTCGGACTTTACCGACGAGGGAACCCGGGAGGAGTAGGATGGAGTTTGATTATTATCACAGTGTTTGTTTCCATTTCTACTTATCTACAGCTTCCTTGAGTCCTCTCTATAATGCAGTGTACGGCATTGAGTTCTGTCTGTGTTGAGATACTGATGGACGAACAACAGGGAACGGATGAAGAGTTTGAGGAGTACTTCAAGTTCGTTCGACAAGTTGCCATTGAAGACTTTGAACTGTGCGAGAAGGCTCAGAAGAACTTGGAGGCGGGGGTCTATGGTGAGGGTGTTTTGAATCCCATCAAAGAGAATGGGGTTTCCTTTTATCAGGCACGAGTGAAGGAGGCTGTATATCGCCAGTTTGAGGAGGATAAGATGGAGAGGTCAAAGAGGAAAATTGAGAAAGAGGGAGCGAAAATATGTGAGAAGGAGTCGTTGAGAGGTGTTACTGGTGATGGGAATATAAAGAGTTGTGCCGTCTAGAAGTCGGGACAGTCGACTTGTGAGTTGTGGGGGTGATCATTGTTTGCAGAATATATCAAAGTTGGTCGGTCACATTTCCGGAACCAAGATCTTGGTTTCCTACTCTGATTGCTATGAAGAATTAACTCTACTTCTTTCAAGAAGCTCTACTGCATCAAATCAGAGTCATAATATGAATAAAGCATTAGAAAAAAAAGTTATATGAATGAGACATACTATCAAATCAATTAGACAAACAGAAATAAGTAGCAGGGGCTTATAGTGAATGAGGAAGTGCGGGGAATATATTATATTCCCCCTCGTACAGGAGCTCCTCAATTATCAACACCACAACATTATCGTCAGTCACACTATTCGAGCTCTTTTTCCCACCCACTTCCCCCTCGCGAATTGCTCGCCATACTTTAGAATGGGTTTTTGGTTTGTTTGGCTATGTGCCTATTTTACTACTGAGTGTTACTACTGAGTGTTCTACTTACTCATAGGCTATGTGCCTATTTCTAGATAGTTTTACTACTCCCCTCAAGGGACGCGAGGCCGAGAGCGCTTTATCCTTCAGTTATCCCATAAAATGGAGCCTTCTGATTGGTTTATATGTAGTTGAGGTATAAGCGTTTGAAGCTAGCCAGCAAAATACAAAATAAAACTAACAATAAGCCTCTTATCTGACGTGTGACGAATGGACGATAAACAGTACATTATCTAAACTATTTTTTATCTCAGCCCTCAGCCGCTGGTCACATGGCCGATTTTCCACCCGGCCCCCCGCCCC